TCTGGGGAAGAAAACATTACTGTTACTAGTATTAAATAATACATTACTTCATTATTATCACTATTATTACTTGTTGACCCAGAGTAGTGAACTAGCTCTCTGACTTGAGACTTGTATTCTGTGAAATCAAGATTAGAATTAGTCAGCTTTGAAAATCCTTTCCAATTCCAACATTTAGAGATTCTGAGCTTTACTTTGTAGACCAAGTAATATCTAACACTGATTCCAGATTATCTACTTTATTCTTATGATGTAAAATATATAAAGGCTGAGGTGGATAGTGTTAAAGTTATTCTTGTAATATTACAAAGAAGAAGTTATTTGCCATCTGTCAGGGAGAAGAGAGTATTAGAGTTTCAAACTCTACCAGCTTAGAAACTAAATGTATTTAAAAAAACAAAGCAAAGCACTAAACAACACTTTAAGTACTTTTTCTGTACTAAACAAAAATTATTGTATTCACCTCTTCTAAGATATGCATTTTGTATAGTTTATATGTCTGAAATCAGGATGAGTTTTATAGTTGATGGTTAGTTGCAATCATTGTCTACCAGCTGACAGTTGTTATGTAGCCACTATATTTTAAGGTGTGTGAACATGGTCATGGCTGTTCATATAGTCATGCTTCAATGAAGTTTTGTGTGCTGATTATACTCCTTGTGTAGAATTTGTCATCTGACATTTCTTCAGATAGATGACAATAAGATTCTGTTGGGGGGGAAAGTTACTGTCTGAAAAGAAAGGCAAGGAGATCACGGCAAGAATTAAAATTCATATGATGAAGCAAATACTTATTGTTGGAACAAGTCTGTATTTTCTTGCTAGTCAACAGCTGACTAATTTACATAACTTTGCTTCTTATCATGTCTATCAGGGATCAGCAGAGGGGACATCACCAGAGATCTTATTAGAAATACAGAATCTTGGGCCCATCCCAGACCTACTGAATCACAATCTGCATTTTCTCAAGATTCCCACTTAATTCCTTCTCACTTTAAAGATTGAAAACACTTTACAGTACCAAGGAAGATACACAAAAAACATGAAGCTGATTCATATTTTGTTACTGAGATAAGTGCTAATGATGTCTCTCATATGTTAAGCAATACAACCTAAAGCAAAGAGAAAGCCCTTAGAATAGATGACAGATGATTAATGACAGTGATGTTGAGTGTCTTTTCATATGTCTATTGGCCATCTGTAGGTCTTCTTTCGGGTGGGAATGCAGACTGGTACAGCCACTGTAAAAAACACTAAGGAGTTTCCTCCAAAAAGTAAAAATGGAACCACCTTTTAACTTAGTGATCCCACTACTGGGAATCTATCTAAAGAAACCAAAACACTAATTTGAAAGAATATATGCATCCCCATTGTTCATTGAAGCATTATTTACATTAGACAAGGTTTGGAAACAACCAAAGTGCCCATCAGTAGATGAATGGCTAAAAAAGCTGTGCTACATTTACACAATGGAATATTACTTGACCATAAAAGAGAAGGAAATCTTACCTTTTACGACATCATGAATGTACCTAGAGAACATTATGTTAAGTGAAATAAGCCAGTCAGAGAAAGACAAATACCATATGATCTTACTTATATGTGGAATCTAATGAGCAAAATAATTCAACAAACAAAATAGAAGCAGAAACATAGATAACTGTTGCTACTTATTCATAAGCAAGCATGACAATATTCATAGAAATCTATGTCCAGCCCGGCTGGTGTTGCTCAGTGGTTGAGCATCGACCTATGAACCAGGAGGTCACAGTTTGATTCCCGGTCAGAGCACATGTCCAGCTTGCAGGCTTAATCCCCAGTAGGGGGCATGCAGGAAGCAGCTGATCAATGATTCTCTCTCATCATTGATGTTTCTATCCCTCTCTCTTCCTCTCTCTGAAATCAATTATATATATATATATATATATTTTTAAAAATCAATGTTCAAATAAGTTTAAAAGCTATTTCTATAAGCTTTATGTAAGTGTTAAGTAGATTCTAGTGATAAAAACATTATGTCACAGTTTATTTGAAAACTTTTTTTTCTTTTTTTAGTCGTACCTAAAATCATGGTGTACCTTACCACAGGTGAAAGAATAGCTTTGATGAAATACAGTTAATAATACCAATTCAGTGTAACACAAAGCTATCAGAAACAATGAATATCCTAGCTCTTGCTGATGCATATATCATTGCACTTGAGGTAATTAGGTAAACTAACATAGAAAATGATTGATGTGTATACCTTAAGAATTATTCTATAATTTTTTATTATTATACAAAGTTTTCTTTGATAAATAACTTTTCACATGGGAAGAAGAGGAATAATTAATAAAAAATAATAGCCACATTTTATGTTTATGCTACATTAAATAATGATAGTGTAAAGGTTCTGTAAGTATACATAATAGCTGCATTAATAGTAAATTAGGTCAATATAACTTTGTCACATATTATGAATACAAAATTAACATTTGTGAGTGCATTTTTTTTTAATATATTTTATTGATTTTTTTACAGAGAGGAAGGGAGAGAGATAGAGAGTTAGAAACATCGATGAGAGAGAAACATCGACCAGCTGCCTCCTGCACATCTCCCACTGGGGATGTGCCCGCAACCCAGGTACATGCCCTTGACTGGAATCGAACCTGGGACCTTTCAGTCCGCAGGCCGACGCTCTATCCACTGAGCCAAACCGGTTTTGGCGTGAGTGCATTTTTTAACTACAAAAATAGAGCATGATAGAAATAGTTTAAGAAGGTAGATCCAAGTGTTTGCTTTTATTTTGACCTTTTAAATGATTTATCTATATTAACACATTATTCATATTTTCTTTGTTGGCATCTAGTATAACATACAAAAGTTTAATTTAACATTCATTACTTTATTCCAAATGATACTGAGTAGCCTGTATAGCCTATTATCCTTGGGTTAAAGCCAGTTGTCATTGACTGTCAGATTGCTTTCAGCCTGTTTTTCCAGTTTTACTTCTTTATTGATGATGATGATGATGATGATTCTTACCATCCTTTTTCCTTAGCATGCTGAAAGAGATGGGGTGTGATGAGGCTGAAGAATTGAGAGTTGAGTAAAATCATGGAGAGAACCTTTCTGACTTACCAGGATGGCTTTCTAAGTTCATATAGTGCTGAGCTGCCTGGGGTTATAAGTTAGTTGATGAAGCACATAGAAACTACTTGAATTTTGCTGGCAGAATGGGAAGAGATGACTATGAGTCAAACTACCATTTCCCACTACATTTTTCTTTTCCTGTATACACAATATCATATATTATGGCTGCTTAATGTTTTTTGAGTAAATATATGCTGAAGGAAAATTATATGTATATAACTTTTAGTTCAGGTATGTACATTCTTACCTGGTTATATTGCAGGAGACTTCACTGAGCAGATGAAATTTAAACTACTTTAAAAGATGATTAAAATATCAGTAGGTACACCATCAGTATTTGTTTTATTATATGCCTTTAACTCCCACATTTTATTGGATTTTCTCATTCACCCATGAATGAGACTAATTATAACAATGCTTGTTTTATGTCATGTATTAGGTTGTTCATGAGTGGCAAGAAATGTTGGGTTCATTTTATTTGGTGGAATGATTTTAATTCCCTAGCTCTTCAGAATATTTTATATGAAAAAATAATCTAAAGTGAATAAACTTTAATTCTTGCTATGGATACCCAGGGACTTTTTTTTTTATTCTATAATGATGATGATTTAAAATCAGGTGACAGAAATGTCTGAATGTTGACAAGTTCCTGGGGGTAAGAAACACCTGCATATTAAACTTCTGATACTACCAGAGCAGTATGCATATTATTTATCCAAATGTACCTTTTTGGATTGATTGCCTGAAAAGTAAAATCTGGGCTGCTTTGCACAAGCAAAGTTAAAATTTTTTCCCAAGACATCAAGTTCTAATAGTAACAATTATGGATTAGCCCCTGACTAATCAATGCGCTCCAGGCACCAGCAGCATCTGAATCGCCTGAAAGTTTTTTTAAAAATGCAGAATCTCAGGCTATAACCCAGATCTGTTGAATCAGAATGTGCATTTTATTTTATTATTTTTTAATATTTTTAAAATTTATTTCAGAGAGGAAGGGAGAGGGAGAGGGGGAGAGACAGAGAGAGAGAGAGAGAGAGAAGCATCAACGATGACAGAGCATAATTAATCGGCTGCCTTCTGCATGCCCCACACTGGGGATTGAACCTTCAACCTGGCATGTGCCCTGACCAGGAATCAAACCCTGACCTCCTGGTTCATAGGTCGACGCTCCACCACTGAGCCGTGCCGGACAGGCCGGAATGTGCATTTTAACAAATTCCTATTTCCATTAAAGTTTGAGAAGTGCTGGTGGCCTGCCTATTCCCTGTCCTGATCTCAGATTTGATTATATTGCACTAATTGAGAATCTATAAAATACATCCTGGCTCCTGAACTTTTCCAACAAAGGAGACATGGTGCACATCATTCTCAAGCAGAATGGAAAGCATGCGTGACTAGATTTTAGAATAGAAAAATAATCTGTTTTACATGCTTCAAAATTCTGTGGATTTATGTCCTTTCTATGTTCTCATGACTTTTTGAGTTTTATACAATAATTGTCCTTTTGTCAACAAAGAATAAAATTACATCCAGTAAATGAATTCAGCTGTCCCTGTTGTACCTGGTCTCCTGTTGATAGTCTCAGGATGTTATTTTAGCTTTCTCAGACTTGTGGAAATCATGCTGCTTGGTTCCCTGCAGGAATTAAAATGAAATATTAGTAATTATGCATATTTAATTTTCAAAATGCCAACTGATTACTCACAGCATTTGTAAAAAGGAAAATTATTGTAGATGTGCATAAAATCTTTCCTTAATAAGGACCTTTGAAGTCTAAAATTGTGCTATCACGGATATTTTTTATTCCAGCGATCAGAATAAAAAATGAATTATTTAGTAACATATCTTTCTTCTTTTCCCTTTTCCAGATGCAAGACGAAGGTCTACCCTGATGAACTTCCAAACACAAGTGTAGTTATTGTGTTTCATAATGAAGCTTGGAGCACCCTCCTTCGAACTGTTTACAGCGTTATAAATCGTTCTCCACACTATTTACTTTCTGAGGTCATCTTGGTCGATGATGCCAGTGAAAGAGGTATAAATGTTTTTCTCATATATTTTCTTAAATTAGAACACTTTATTATGGTCAAGAAGACAGCTGGGGAATGATCTGTATTTTCCTTGTAATTATACTAACCCTGAAACCACCCCTCATCATCAGTGCATTTCCATCAGTGTATCTAGGCAATCCCAACTCTAGAGACAAGGAACTAATTATTACAGTTTCTCCCATGATTCCATTTGGTTCTTACTAACCCAGGAAATCAGACAAAATGACATTCAAAAGGGTTCCTTTTTTCCCCAACTCAACTGCTCAGATAATTGAACATTTATATAACTTTATGGATACCTGTCTCTTTTTTTTAAGTTCAGGTAAATGCAAAATAACTTAATGAAGGAGCCTGCATTTGCCAGTGTGGCTTAGTTTCTCCATTAGAGTCTGACATATTAACTTCCTATTTTATCCTTATTCTTGTCAGCCAAGTGACAGGTTATAATGAACTGCACATGAATATACTCACGAAGTCTCTATAGCTTTATGTCACCTACTGCAAAAAATGTTGACAGGAGTTCACCACCATTTCTGTGTGTTGAGTTTTCACCTGGGCAGTAGTATCTCTGCGGTGTTTTAAAACAGTTTCAAAACTTTCTTATAAATTCTTATTGCACGTTGCAGATTTTCTCAAGTTGACATTAGAGAATTATGTGAAAAATTTAGAAGTACCAGTAAAAATTATCAGAATGGAAGAGCGCTCGGGGTTAATACGTGCCCGCCTTCGAGGAGCAGCTGCTTCGAAAGGGCAGGTCATCACTTTCCTCGATGCACACTGTGAATGTACCGTGGGCTGGCTGGAGCCCTTGCTGGCGAGAATAAAGGAAGACAGGTAAGGACTCACCGGTTCTGTCTGCCTGGGTTATGACGGAACCTGTCAGGACAGTGTTGGCTTTCCACCAGAACATCTCTTCCAGGTTGCTATTTTCAGGTATATTCCTAGCTTTTAAAAAAGCCGTCCCCACCTTTCTCACTTAATAAAGACCTTGGCTTTGTCGTGCTGAACATGATTATTTGATTAAGAAATAATCAAACAATTCAAATAGTACACATGTTGAATATTCATTTTTAGGGGAAGGAAACCAGTCTAATTTGAAATAGTACAATTTTGTAAAATACATTTTCAAAGGATCTTACTGTGTCCTCACAACCGCTGTGAGGTAGGTAATGTAGATATTCTTACCTATACCTAATAACAGGGAGGAGCACAGAGATTAAGTAGCTTGATCCAGTTATTGGAAGTGATGGGAGCAATTCAGTTGTTCCTATTCCCAGACTAGTCTTTTTTCTACTAGGTCAGTGTCCCTATTCAAAGTCTAGTTCAAAACCACCTTCAGGATCTTAAAAACAAAAACACATAAATTCCACATTCCAAACATAAAACGTACAGAGCACAGCTATAAAGAATGCTTAATTATTTAAACAACATTGCCACTTGGTACATAAAAATGATGGAATCTGAAAGATTGAATGTTACTTGCAGAAATTAAGAACCTCCTGGTTACCTGAAATTCTCTTTAATGATGAGGCTATGAGGTATGAGCCTTTGCTGAAGATATTCATAAACATTGGTGATAAATGAGTGTAATTCTCAAGCACTTAGGAAGACAACAATGTTGAATACTGTCGGATATAAAAACATAGCCATGTATAACACCTTGCTTGCAAAGGAAGGTCACCTGCAATAGAAAGGTCTTTTTAGAATTGAAGTTTTTAATTAAGCACTCAAAACCAGGGCTGTGTAGTGTGAGCTAGTCCAGCTATATCACTTAAATGGCAAGATTTGATACTTGCCACAAAGATGGATGGATTCTGCCAGTAAAATGAACCATAGCAGTTGAATAAAGCAGTAGGAACCTTTTAGTCAACTGCATGTAGTACACAGCTAATAACATTTTTCCACTCTGTGTATTGTACAGTACTCACAGGAGGGTAAGACTGGCGAAATAAAATGAACTTGGAACATCTTAAATGCATTTCTTGGCAACATTCATACATTATGCTGCCTTTTAAAACGTGTTTCATATTCAGCTTAGTGAGTTTTTAATATAATATTGTTTCAATATGGTCATGCATAGATCATTTATTTTTTAATGTAACAACATATTTAAATTATATTTCTATGTAATGAACTCTACTGTTTTGTTCTACTAGTAGGTTCTAAAGTTGCCATAACTAGATAATAAAGTCCTGTTCAAAGTTATTAGATCTAATTTCATCTCCCTACAAATTAAATTACTAAATTTAATAACTAACTAACTAAATAAATAAATCAATCAAAGATATTGATTTTGTAGGGACCAGTGTGACCAAGAAGTTTTTCCAAGGGTAGATGAATTCTACTGACTTCAGAGAACTCTAGTCTTTAATTAATTGTGTAGAATATAAAAGAGAATTGAAAATAAGTATGAGTGATATAGGTGTTACCAAAGCAGAATAAATGATGGACAACATTTATTTTGCTTTCCACATCTATGTGCGATTCAAAAGCATATTTGTATGTTTACCTTATACAAAATATGACAAATAAGCTCTGCTCTTCAGAATTAGCTACAACTGGGGCAAACTTGGGTAGAAGTACGCATTTACTGTGGCGATGACACAAGTTTGACACTATAATAAGACATATAACTGGGAACATGGGAAGGTGAGTACCTATTGATCTCCCATGGCAAAAAATTCTTTTTACCTAAAAGCCATCATGAAGGACCCCAAATCTGGCATTTTCTCTTGCTTTAAGAAAAGATGGGTCAGGGTATAAACACCAGAAATTGAAGTTGGTTATCTTTCTGTATCTTAAAAGATGTAGATTGTTACTATAAACTCTTAAGTCTAGGACAATTCACTCAGAAATTGTCATGACCCTAATATCTTTCATGGGAAACATTTACTTATACGGATTATTACTATTTTTATTGTTATTTCTATTTGTTGATTTTTGTTGTTTGTTTTTGTAATAGATATTTTCTCCATGAAGATTTTCATAGAACTATCTCCTTAATCTAACAGTAACCCCTCTGAGATTGAAACTACCAGATCTAATTTGCAATCATCCATTCTCTACTCCCTGTATGCAATTACTTTTCTATAAAAGATATAGCTAAAATGATGCATAATGTCAAAGCAGCTGTACTAATCATGCTGTGGGCGGAGGTTTTATGAATAATAGACCATGTCCATCCTGCTGAGTTAGTACTTAGGATGTATTTGAAAATCAGCTTGAAGATCAATCACTATATCTGATTAGATTATACATGGTAGTATGAAGTTGGCTGAAGGAAGATCTGGTAAAAGGAAATAATTCCATAGGAAAAAGGATAAAATAAAAACATATTAATGTCACAAAATAATTAAATTTCAACACATCACCTATATTGAGTTTGAAGAAACAACTATAGCACTTAAATTATTTATGTGTAAACTGGTTTTACTTCTTCTGCAGGAAAACAGTTGTATGCCCCATCATTGATGTGATTAGTGATGATACCTTTGAATATATGGCTGGGTCAGACATGACTTATGGTGGTTTTAACTGGAAACTGAATTTTCGTTGGTATCCTGTTCCCCAAAGAGAAATGGATAGGAGGAAAGGAGACAGAACATTACCTGTCAGGTATGTAGATCCTATCTCCGATGGTAGCATGTACATTCCTGTAATAATTCAGAAGTATTATAAATTTATGTTCTCATTTTTAAGTCTTTAAAAGTCATATATTTTTATTCATACACACATGTGTCATCATCTTTTACATGATCATCTAAGAATCAATGGCTATATTAAATCTAGTTTAGATTAGCACTGGCAAATTAGCATTGGCAGAAGTGCCAAATTTCTTTTGAAACTTTGTGTATCCTTATATTACAAATATATTTATTGTCATTTTTCTGTGTGACAGATATGTGCTAGCCTTGCCAATTAAGGAAGATAGACCTTACCTAAATGTATATGTATTATAGTAGAGGTGTACCTAAAATTAAAATAATAAAAAATGTTTTAGTAAATATTCTAAATTTACTTGAAGAACTATCTTCCTGACAGATACAAGAGAAAGATCCATTTAGAAAATGTTATTATATTAATAATTATGAAGGATTTTTTGTTTGTTCCAAGTTATTGAAAATAGCTACTTTGTTTGAAATATTTATTCATAAAATACGTTTTCCCTTAATAAAAAATGAGAAATATATGCATCTTTAATTTTCTAGATAGTTATTACCCACTTTATGAACATAAAATTATCACCTTCTTACTTTAACATATCATTGTGTACTTCTTAACTGCAATAAAAATTTTATTTTCTGAATAATATTTTGTGGAAGGAGTTCACTAGTTTAGCTTTTTAAAGATTCATTTGGCAAATCATCATTTAGTTAGAATAATAGAGAATACCCTAACATTCTAAAACAATATATGTAGCCCATTATCTAAACAAGAATATTTCCTAACCTAATGAAGGATTGACTTATCCATTGGCAAGCTTAATTATATAATGAATTAATTAAAACTAACTAACAATTCACTAATAGAAGGGAACAGCTCTAATTGTTTGTTATTGAACAATTAAATTTGAGGCTGTTAACCCTCTAAAGGAGGTAGTACTACATCAAAGAGAAAAAAATGTGGCTACAGACAATTGCATAGAGATGTGAAATTATTATGTCAGCATTTAAAGTGTGATTTAGCAGCACTGAAATCTTGCAGTAATCTGCACGTTCACCAAGTCTTATTGATCCTTGCCTTTAATGACTTGAGGAAATACAGTAGCTCATATTACTATTGTTTATTAGAAATTCTGTTTTCCCACATCATGGTAACATTTAGCATTAGCTGATTTTTCAACTTCAGATCCCAAGTGAAAACTATCAAAATGCTTGAAAAATACACTCAAATGTAGATGTGTATATTCATTTGAAAATGAAGTAATAAAGAATGTGTTTTGTTCTATTGAAACATTGATCATGGAGGTAGTAGGATTGTAATCCGGCATGGTCTGAAGCTGTCCACCAGGAGCACTGCCACTGGGGCCTCCTGGGAGGTGCAGGACCAGCCACCACCTGTTCCCTGCCTGGTGCCACCTGACACTAGCTATAGCAGTGATCTTCAGATGGTTGCTATTTGTTTGGGGCTTGAAGGTGCCCCGGAGAGGCCATGCTGCAAGCCAGGACACATTCCCGGTAGTGCCAGGACCAGGATCACTTAGCAAGAGACATAGGTCATGCAGAGACCAGTTGCTGCTTGTTTGAGAGATAGTAGGAAAGTCCAAATCATGAGGCATGAGAGACCATTTGTATGGAAAAGCCACTGTAAATGGCTTGGATGGGCCCACAAATTGGGTGGAGTGGTGTCTCAAGGAATCACCAAGGCTGGACTAACAGTGTTAACCAGGTTGATGGAAATTCAGATTATGGCACCCACCTGCCAGCTCTGAGAGGAAAGGGCTCATCAAAGAACAATGGCCTCTGCCACACTTCTGTCTGGGAGAAACCTGCACCAGACCCTTGAGTTGGGAATTCTGTTGTGGGGCCAAGAACCCTTGCTCCTTAGAGTGTACCTTTTTGGTCAAGATTTCTCTCTTGATTTTTAATGGCCACACGTGGGGGTGAGACCAGCCCATTCTGTGTCTCCGTCCTTCCTAGAAATCTTGATGTGGCTTCTTCTGTATATATTTATTTATAGGTCTTCTGTTCAGCTAGATTTCAGGTAGTTATGAATTATGGTTGTTCTGTAATTTAGTTGTAATTTTGATGTCATTGTGGGCGGTTCCAAGTGCCGTATTTACCTATGCCACCATCCCGACCAGAACCTACCTTTGTTTTCTCACAGAGTGAAAAGGTAGATAATTAAATGGTAGCCAACATTCATAATAATTTACTGATCTCATTCATGAAAGTAAAGATTTACATAGAAATCGGACATTATCTCTCATCTTTTATTAACTAAAACAAGATGAAATAGCCTACTTGCTATACTTATGTGGCTTTATTATAGTAACACGGAGAGCTGATAAAAACTAAGTGTATTTTATTTGTATCCTTCAGTAACTGCACAGTATTTTACTTTTTAAATTGCTGAAGGAGCTGGAGCAAAAGAAAAAGAGAAACCTATCTTTGCTGATGTTTCTAGATATTTATGGCAAAAGGTTAATTAATGCATGGGTTATGTTGTAACAGCCCGCAGGTAATTTTCATCAGCATAGCTATCATGTGAACTTTCTTTGTACTTATAATCTGTTACTTGAAGATGTGATCATTTTTCTCACATTTATACAAACACATTAATCATTCTAGGTGTTGAAGACTTTTTTTCTTATTTGATTAATAGAATTCTGAATAGCTAAAGTGATTAAAATGAGGTTGAAATGTTAGTTTTCTTAGTGGAATATTTCTTTTAAAATGTCAGTTAAGACAGAACTTCCTACTGACTATAATTTGCTAATTTAGTCATCACTTAGAAATACAATCAAGCCTCTGTGTATATAAAGAACCAATTTGAACTTGTGACCTAACCTTAGTTATACCACATTTAAATTAAAGCTTATAATTGTTATTATTCTATTGTCACCTCTGGGCTTTGATATTTTCATTTTGATAATAAATGGAGTGTGTGAAATACTTGGTATTTGTGAAGTTATGAGAATGGAATAATAGCACATTTAATCCCTATTATTTAGTTTTCTTTAATCTATAAACTCTCCTTAATATTTCAGTTGTTAAATTATATGACTTTTTAGGAATATCTCAATTATATGTGCAACAATAGAGTAATCAAATTGTTAAACCAGAGGTCTTATACCAGGAGTTTGCATGTCAAATATGCTGTGTAGGTGAATGTTACTTGACCTACAAAGTGTTTTAAATTTTAAAAATTACCACCACCAAAAAAATGAGATGTTTTAAAGAAAAATCTGGATTTCCAGCTATTCTTGAGAAGTCAGAATTTCTTGTTGTTATGATCCTCTGTCCCTAATGGGCACCATCAGGTGGAGTTCAGTAGAAGCTGTCCATATAGAAGTAGCATGAAAGTGTAACATAATCCCCACAACTCTTTTTTTTTCATTGTGTGTCCCTGACCCTGAGGCTGAGGATCAGTTGTTGCCGTTTGTCATCATTCTTATACTTGGAAAAAAATTTCTCTGTACCTGTTTCCCAACCAAAGATGAGAGAAATACGCGTATTGCAACTAATCAACTCCACATATTGATATTATTTACCTGACTAAAATCTTTTTAATTTGTGACTTTTGACTTAGAGGAAATGGCTGCATTTTAAAGATTAAACAAGTTGGACTTGTATGAGTATACATATTCATAACCTAATGGAATAGCAACTAGTAGCATAAATTATCTGGTAGGGCAGATAATCTCTTGAATCATTTAATTAGTTTGGGGGATGTATGTTTCCAATACATGTAACTTTTGAGTTGATTTGGTTCAGGCTATTGGAATGAGTTTGATTTCATGTGCAAATACACATAGTGCACCATGCTAGGTTTTGCACATACAAAGATTAATAAGGCGTTCTATGCTCTAAAGTTGCTCACTTTCTGGGACAGGTCATGTGTATGTTGGACCAGCATATGTGGTCAGAGTGTGGCTACACAGGAGTTAAACTATGTTACTGCTAGAGTTGTGTGGGCTTCTGGAAAAGAATCCACCTCTATTCTTATTCATAACTTTCATCTTTTAGTTATGCCGTGTAAGTCATCCTCAGTAGTTATAAAAGTATTTGTTTCCACTTTAATGTCTTAATTATTAAAGTAGATATCTTTACTAGAAAGCTACAGGTTACTTATCAAGCCTATTTAACTTTTTTTATCCTTTTCTTATTTTATAGACTTTTGCATTTAGTTATTATTAATAATCTTAATATGCCTTCTTTCATTTTCACTTGGAGTACCATTTTCATTATCTTCCTAAAGCAAAATAAAAGAATTTTTTCTAATTCTTGCTATCATAAATGAAACATAGATATAATTATGAATTTTTTCTCTCTGACACATTTTACCTACTTTGATATCCCTTTTTAGTAACATGTGACTGATCTCATACATTTATTTTTCTTTCAAAGAAAGGAATTTATAAAGAAAAAATTAATAGTGTTCTTAATAATAGCTCAGATGACAATTATTGTGCCTTTATTGGGAAAAACCTCATAGAAATTTTACATATCTATTTCCAACATCTTTATAGTATGATATTACAGAAGAAATATTAAAGCTGGCTTTGGAGAATCTGGGTTTTATTTCAAGCTCCTCCAATTGGAAAATTACCCAGTCTTCTCAACTATTAAATGGAAAATTATTCTCGCTGCCTTGCTTAAGTCATGAAGTGCTATAAAATATTAACTGAGAAACGTATTTGAAAGGTGTTATTTTAAATTTATTCCTGATATAACATATGTGCATTGCAAAATAAATGTGACAAGTACCTAAAGCATAATGAAACAGAACACCAAGAAGCCACTTCTTTTAAAATTTTGTTATATTTCTTTCTGGATACATTTCTCCACAGTTTAGAAATTGCTATACCATGGGTATTTTCCTATGCCAGTAATTTTTTTTTCACAAATAAAAATTTTAATAGCTGCTAATATCTCAATTATTTACTTAGCTTC